GGCAGCACCCGTAATGGGCGAAAATGAATTCAGACAAGGATTACGAGTAATAATTTAATGAAACGTCAAAGCTTCCGCGCTCCGCATGGGAAAAGGCAATTTGCGTATAGCTTCACCTCTGAGTTGGTAGATCCTTCACCGTCATGCATGTACTACACAATACTCCATATCCTCTTTAGACTTGTACATCTACTTATTCATGGGGTCTGTACATGTATACAATTACTTTGCAATCTTGTTTATATGCCATGCCTTGAGCAAAGCCATTTTAAGATTATCAATTACTTTTCCCCTTCAAATATGTCTTTTTACGAGTATTTTTCCATACATTCCTGAAGATATCATCAATAATGAAAAAGTTCGAAATTTAGAGTTCCCTGAATGCACAAAAGCACACAAAGACTACTGTATAAAATCACAAACATGAAAACAAAATATTTAATTTCTTATAGTTATGGTTTATTTTTCATAAATCATGAATATTAGTTTTGTTTTAAGTGGGTTGAAAGCTTCATAATAAAACATTGACAGATTTTGACATTTTCATACTCCACATTTTCATTTTTTATAAAGACCAAATTTTAAGCAAAAAAGAAAATTTTATCAGGTTTTAAAAAATATTTCCTCTCTTTTCTTTCCATACAATCTTGTCATCATTCACATGGAGAATGATATACAACGTATTAGACATAATGTATTATCTTCTACACTCCCATATTATCATATTTTACAACGATATAATGTTATCAATAAAGCTATTGAAGGGGCGGGGGGGGGGAGAACATCAGATTAATAATTATTGATATTGCCAATTTAAATGTGCCTGTACTCTTATGCTTCTTGCACTCAATAAGGCCTAAAAAAAAGATGTTGTATTGCCCTGTAGGTGCCAAAACGTGAATCGGTCGATCAGAAATCTTTTTTTTTGCTCCCTCTTTGGGCTATTTCTTTTTTCTTCTAAAAAACAGTAAAAGAAAAAAACTTTAAAAAAAAGCCGACCGTGGATTTTAAGATTTTTGGGTCGGTCGCAAAGGGCAATACAACATCTTTTTTTTAAAGGCCTAACAGGCCTACCCTTGGGAAAGCTCTGACAATCATTTCTAAAACAAAAACAAACATGGAATTTAAATTCTAATACCAACCCTATATGGAATGTGTTTTTATATATCAATTTAGGAAAAACAATTGTATTATCCATTTTTTTTAGGTGGATTATAAAATGTAGTGTAAAAAGTCACTGATCAGGGTGTACATGGAAAGTATGAATATACTTGGAAGTGCAATTACAGACGTAGAGTAGAAATTATTCTATACAATGGCAATGACATCAAACAATATTGTATTTATAATCTTGCAGTTACATGTTTACAGAAGGGACAGAAGAAAAAAAGATGCATGTGAGAGAGAGAGGGGGAGGAGAGAGAGAGGGGAAGGGAGAGAGAGAGAGAGAGAGAGAGAGGGAGGGGGGGGGAGAAGAGTTGGGAGGAAGGGGGGTGGTAAAGAGTTTCATTTAATGAAAACTTTTGCTCTTTAAATATCAATCAAACATCAAGTTATTCACAGCCAAGTGATCCACAAAAGTAATGATGAGCTGTTTGAGAACACCTACAATATACATTTCTTTGTAAGAATGTACATTTCCAGTCATGAATATTTCTGCTAAATGGCTGGCAAGAAAAACAAAATAAATTATATACATTTTGTTCAACACACATATTAAATGCTGCTCATTTTTTAGACTGTATCAAAGTTTACTAAGTAGTAATCCTCCAAATTATCATGACTCTTTCTCAACTGTCCATATCTATACTCTCAATACACAGAATTGTAGGTGAGGATCAAAATGTAAAAAAAAAAGTAATTTTTACATAATTATATTCCCCCAAGAATCATCAGACATTTTTCCTTTGTTTTATTCACCATACATAACAATGGTCTACATGAGAGAACAGAGCTGATGAGAACACATCTCCAAGGAGCACAAACTGACTGGCTCAAAAATCCAATATGTGCAAGAATCTAACCAGAAAGAGATGTTAGAAAAGGGAGAATACCTGTTTGCTATTTTACCATTAAGTTCACAAAGTTTTAAACTTGAAAACTGTTCTAAAAGATTATGAGATGAGTTCTGGGGAGAGGTGAAAACAAAATTGTGAGTGTTTTCATTGTTATTATGCAAATGTGGAAGAACATCAGGAAAAAAATGTTCCCTGAAAAGCATGGCTCTTCAAATGCCTTCATATTTTACATATGACATGCTTAAAACTGTGGGCCTCATTTTATGACACATGTTTGTTAAGTCCAATTTACATATTTCCGTGTACAGTGCTTGTTACTTTTACCAAGACTGGGCCAAATTCCTTACTATTTTGATGATTCCAGAACCTTGCAGTACACACCAATACATATATGCTACATGATCAACCTTTTTCTGATCGATAACACTATTTATTTCACGATGCAATCGCATCACCAGAACTCAATGTTATCTTTAACACACCCAATCACCCGTATGTGGTTACTCCATGTATTTATTCACTTTCCATGGAATCATTAATGTGTACCAATCACTAGAATATATTTTGCTCTGTATGTTAGGTGTTCCATGTCACTATACTATAATCAAAATATGAGCTTCAAATATTACTTCTATAATGAGATATTGCAAGTTCAAAGACGCTTTCAATAAACACCAAAGCCACTAGTGAAAGGAATAGTTTGCACACCCATATGTTCTGTTAGTAGAATAGGGTGCGCATGGAACCCAGGGCTCCGTATGTCTGGTTTTTATTTCATCCTTTCTTTTCTTCATGCTCCTAACTCTTCGCCCATCAAATCCTGGGAAGTTTATTTTAGGTTGATTTTATACACTTTAGCTACACACAAATATTTTTCATTTTCTTCAGGTGATTGGTACACTTATAGTTATAAAGGCTTTGTTATTAGGGGTTCTCTATTGTGAAGTGTTTACATACATGAATAGTATGTTTAAATAAATAAATAAAATCAAAATTAACAGCATGAATACCAAGTAATTTCTCATTTACCTTCATCATATTTCCAGAAGTTTGCAAATTAACATTTGCTTAATACACCCTTTTGTGCAGTAGGTAGTAATGTAGTATATTGAATGATCTACAAATACAGTTTGAAGAAACTCTTAACAGAAAAAGATAGGAGTCATACGAGATCTATCCCTGCCGAAGCAGATTCATGAACACAGTAACAGTGAAACCAGAGAATTTGTAAGACTTCAAACTTGATTCTTCCTTTGTCTTAACTGTATATACTTTGAAACAAATAGGTTAAAATTAACTTGACTATCAACAAATCTAAGTAGATTTGGATAATCATCATATTCAACATTCTACCCCAAACTTCTCAAATTCAACTGCTTTCTGTAAACAAACAACCAAAATAGTGCATCCCTGATTCAATACTGAATACTTGTAAAGCATATTATTCATGTTGCATGTACACTATAACAGTGATAGAGGGAGGAGGAAATCTTTCTTGTTACAATTTCTCAGAGAGAATTTAAAGTATTGATTGATTACCATGTGATTATACATCAATCACAAATATAATGGACTATTAGAAAACTGATCAGTGACCTCTACGCCAATGAAAAGGTCTACTGTCATTTGGTCTACAGTGGCGGATCTACAGGGAGGGGGGGAGGGGGGAGGGAGGGTTTAGGGGGTTTAAACCCCCCTTCCCCCTTGGGCTGCCAAGTGAAAATGTGATGTGCATAGAAAAACGCCATCATGCGTCCAGACCCACACAGTATTAGTAGATGTTAGTTGATGCCAGGAAAAAAGCACTAACAGGGGTTCAAAATAGCCAACAACAACAAAAAAATTACTGCTTTGCGCCCATTGGGTCACCCCCCCCCCCCCACCCCCCTAGTAGCAAAAAGCTAGATATGCCCCTGGTCTAAACTCTATAATAAAATACCGGTACAATATCCAGTGAGTACAATCCTATTTTGCCCAAAAGTTTTTCAATTATCAAACTTGGTTAACATTATTATGCCTACACCTAAATTTTCTTTTATAATTCTTTTATTATATTCTTCAATTCTCATATAGTTATCTGTAAACTAAAGGGCTTTAAGGAATTTTGTCTAAGTTCCTTTTGGAAAACAGTCCATGACTGGATGTCTGCCCACACATTGTTTAATCAGACTAAATAGATAATAGACTAATCTGGCGTTAGATCAGTAAGCCATAGGAAAACCTGTGAGTGGATAAAGTGAAAATTTATACGAAGTGATCATTAGAGCACACAGAAACTACACAAATTAGGTGTAGACAAAATTGGATTGATACAGATTTAGTACACATTAACAATACACCAATAGGTTGTAGTCAAAATGGCAATTTTCTTAAGTATCACTTATTATATTTTACCCTTCACATTTGGGTTTCACAAAAAGAACAAATACAATAGCACAATAAGTACACAAACAACACAAAAGGGCTTTTTTTTCAGCAGCAAGACAAATAAAGACAGCTATCCACACATAAATCTTGATTTTAGTTGCTTGCTGTATCATTCTGGTCATCTCCCATATATTGCAAATTGAGAAAGTCATAGATAGCAAGGTCACAAGCATTGATATTTTTCAGTGATCAGTCTTGAAATCACAAACGTGTATCATTGTAATAAAGCACTCCAGAGATCCCCTAGCCTCCATGTATATTCCGGTAGAAGCGATTAATACGGTTTATTCCTTGATAATCACATCGATGTATAAGCAAAGTACTGTCATCTCCTGTTAGGTTCACTATTACTGAATACTCCATGTATAATAATAATAATAATGATAATAAAAACGTTACTTATAAAGCGCTTACCACCGAAGTCTCTAAGCGCTATACACACAAAATAGACTGATATACAATTACATACTATACAAAACTAAAAATGCAAATAGACATACAAATTACAATACATATGGAATACACGTCAAAGTATGTATGTAGTCCCACATGTTCCACAGCTGATCAGTAGTGTTCCAAAACCTTCAAATCATGCCCAGCTGATGTGTTCCAATCATGTCATTTCATTATATGCTTTCATCATATTCTTTAAGACATTGTCATTTTCCCGCAGCTTTTAAGCAGTACATTAACACTTTGTAAATAATAATTATATCCTTGCAAAATAAAGCTGATTTGGACTGTATATAATATAAACGAAAGAGAATATGCCTTTGATAAAACGATTCATCAGCTTGAAGTTTTATTTGCCCTTTTTCTCTGCTTGTTTAATCTTTCTTGCTTGCGTACTCACATTACTACCTGTTAGGTGTTTATACAGGGGGCCATACATCTGTAAAACAGAAGGAAAAAAGAGAAATGAATGATCATTACCACTGACACACGATGAAGAAAGAACAGAAGGTTAATAAGCATACACAGGTTTATGGTCCCCTCATGTGCCCAATTGATGGTAAAATAAAAATAATAATATAAAGATGAAGATGAAGATGAAGATGAAGATGAAGATGAAGAAGAAGAAAAAGAAAAAGAAGAAGAAGTAGATGAAGAAGTAGAAGAAAAAGAAGAAGAAGAAGGAGAAAAAGGAGAAGAAGAAGAAGAAGAAGGAGAAGAAGAAGAACAACAATAACAACAACAACAACAATAGTATCACTAATAATAACATTAAAATTGATATAGATATTGTGGATGGATATCACTCATATATCAAGGTGTTTTTATCCCATAATGTACACGTATATTATTATTACCAACTTTTGCAATGTCATGGACAGAAACTTTTAATATTCATTTCATCAAATAGAAAAAATTTGCCTCCTATTTTGCATTGCAACAAGAGTCATGATCTATTATCATGTCCATTTTTATTCCGATATAATAAGTAGACATTAAAGATAAACTTTAGTACTGGTAATGCGATTGCATTGTGAAAGAAAAGGTGTGGAAAGGATCAGAAACAGTTGGTCATGTAGCATGTAAGTATTAGTGTGCACTGCAAGGTTCTGGAGTCATCAAAATCATAATAAATTTGACCGAGTCTTGGTAAAGTAACAAGCACTGTACACAGAAAGCTATATATGGGACAACACACATGGTGTCGGGGCTAGTACTACCTTGATTTCCTTGTCTTTCTATGCTCATTACTCAGCCAGTATACATTTTCTTCCAAAATTGTTTGGCACATGTCATTTATTTGTAATCTTGAACATTCAGTGTAAGTTTCGTTTGATTCTGTGAGAATTAATTTTCTTTTTTTTACCAGAACTCAAGTTTATCTTTAATACAATCTTTACCATAGTATTAAAATAGAATAAAATCCAATAAGCAAATTAAGATTTGTATAACTGAAAAATGGTTATTGACAGAAAAAAATTGCAACTGTCTATTGAGGAAAATTGTACATTACTGTAATTTGTCATGATTTGCTTTTATTTCTTGATAATTGATGTCGATAAGTGTTATGATTAATCTTGTTCATATTTTGATATTTATTAAGCTCATGAATTAGTAGTTATCTGTAAATTGTTTGTTTTATTATTGTAAAGGGCAATAGTATTTTCTCTGAGGATAAAACGCGCTATAGAAGCCAAGGTTATTACTATTATTATTATAAAAGATAAGTGTGTGTTTACTTACATGAACCCATATAAATCCTGTTCCAGTATCAATCCATGTCCCAACGTTGACCCACTTGCCGCTATAACGCACATAACTCCATGTACAGAGAAGAAGGATGGCATAGACTAGCAGCATATTGGCCAGATTTGACAAGGAGTAGAATCCTACAAGTCCACACATCCCTGACAGGATGTACATTGCAAGTATGGTGGTGACGAGGGTGATAGGGGTTCGTGCTACGTTGAACAGGTTCTTGCTATCGTTGTGTTTGATGTACTGCTCATAAGACTCCTCCATCTCAGTTAAGAGCTTGTCCTCGTAGTCCTGACTGTACTCTGTTCCTCCCATCTTGCGTACTTCTCTGAACTGATTAATGGCTGCTTCTTTGGTTTGATTGTGATTCTTCTCTAGTTCGTCTGGACTCAGGTACGCCTTGTCACCTCCACATACCTGTATCACATATAAGAAGACATTATTATAGCCCGGCATGAGATCGAGAATGGAATGTAAAATTCTTATGCATCCAAAAGAGGTTCTGACGATCTCCTAATAATCTTTGTCCAAATTTGAATTCAGCAGGTAAAACTACAAAATCAGCATTTTATTGTGTATTAACCAACTTTAATAGAACTATTCATACAGTCCAAACTCTTGTATACTCCTTGAAAACTACATAAACAACAATTCTAGAAGGTTCCTTTGTGACTGAAGAGTTGTTTATGTGCCTTTACTATGAAACTAAAACTATTGTGGAAATGCTTGTTTAAGATATTATAAAAATATACACTGTCTTGAGATGTTCTGGTTAAAACTATGAGCAAGAGGTGACTCCAATAGTACTATTTGCTGAGGGGCGCAGCCCCGAAGCAAACGGTACTTTTGGAGTCACCGAGGCCCATAGTTTTAACCAGTACCTCGAATAGAAGGCATGGTATATTTGTTTTATATCCTGCATCAAAAATTTATTTAAAAATTAAAAATAAAAAAATAAAAATCCTATTTTTGGGGGAAAAAATAAAATTTAGAATAGAAAAAAATGTCAATTTTTATCCAAAAAAATGTAAAATATTTTGTTTTCATTAAATTAAGATTTGAAGAAAAAAAATCAATTAAAAAAAAAATTCACAATATTTTTTCAACTCCCAAATAGTACTCTTCTCTAGTACTTTTTCAGAGCAACCTTAAAATAGATGGAATATTTCTCAAGCTCTCAACCAATCAAAAGCCATTAAATTTTTGATGCATGATATATATCATTCTAAAGGCTTGTTCAGACATGGAGCGGTAAACCGCCACAAAAAAAAGCTGCCGCTTTTAAATGAATGCGCGGTAACAATTTCATCACAATGACATACTTGCTTGAATAACCTGAAATCCGAGAGACCGGCAAACAGACGTAAATAAAAATCATGCTTGATGCCAAACTTGTATATCATTTGTAAAAAAATGTTTGGTATAGGTAATACTAATTATATTGACAGAGCTTCTTTTTAGGGTACATAAGAACTACTGCCCTCATCTTCGACTCGGGACAATATGATCTTAGCTTGGTCAATATTTCTGATGTATTCCTCAAGCCCAGTCAATATAATATAATTATTGACTGAGCTCTGTTATAAGATGCAGAAATATGACGCCCATTACATTTTATGTCCTCATTAAAAAAAAACTGCCACGGTTCTGGTGCATCATAACTGAACGAGCCATAACCATTCAAAATGGTTCTCATTTAATGCTAACCCATATTGTGACTCTCAAAATACATGCAAGCAAGCACTCAAGCAAGAACTGTTCATACTTATCATCACATTAGAGTTGTTGTGGCATGACAGTGGTAAATGCTAGGCACTGGTACAATAACTTTTCAGCATTACATATGAACATGGCAGCCATGTTGTCATTCTATCTACTACCAAACTCTACTCACCTGTTCCATATCCTTTGTGTATTTGTCCTTAGCACTTGCTACTGCAGCTAAGTTATTGGCCTCTGCTGTCGCCTAGTAAACAAATGAGGTACATTCATACTTCAACGATGGATACATACAACTTGGAAACATAACAACAGCATTAATGCAATGCAATTCTTTCAATGCCTGTACCCATTCTAAGCATCACAGAAATGTGTCTTTTTATGTAATAAGGCTTTTACTATTAATTTACTGGAAATTATTTGTTTATTTCAAATTCATGTGTCTCAATAAGTACACCAAACTTTACACTTTACACATCACTCATTATTTGAAATAATAATAATAATAATAATAATAATAATAGTGGTTTCTTGTAAAGCGCTCATGTCTGTCAGACGTGACACTCCTGGCGCTCCCGAGATATATATATATATATAAATGATATATATAATGAAATTTTAAACAATTCTTTAAGTGAAGTTTAATAGGTTGTTGAGCCAAAGTATATATTGATAATATATTGATGATTTCCTTTACTATTTCTCTGCATTATTACAAAGGATACATGTTAGATGCACATGAAAACTGTTAATTTGATTGCCATACATCGTTCTTCTTACCTGTAGCATAGTCTTAGGTTCAGGTAAGTCATCCCCCCTGTAGATATCAACGTAAGCCTGAATCAAACAAGAAGCATGAAAAGATAGAGTAGTGTGTAAATACAAAATACATGGAAACACTTGAAAACTCAATTACAACAAATAATAGAGAAAAGGGATACAGCCGCTTTCAAAAATATAAATTTGGACAAAGATTCAAATTTATATGAATGTTAACCACTTATGAACAATGATCATTTTGCATTACAGATAATTAATATGAATATCTTGATCCTAAATATCAGTAATTAACCTCTGAATGAACTTGGCATACTCATGTACACAAGCAGATGACAGCGACACAGACATTTTTTCAAGGTGTCATTTTTAAATTTATTAGGTTACTTACAATACATGTTTGCATATAATTGCCAGCTGATTTTGACCCTACTATAATTCCTAAATATTCATAAAAATGAAATCCTCAGGTAAGCAATGGCTTCTACAGTATGTTTAGTGAGCATATATGCTCATGATGAATTTAAGTACCGTGTTTATGCCAATTGCTTTACATATAATTACATTTTACATACTAAGGCTGGGACTTGTAGTCGAATACTTGAGTACTCGCACTGTTGACAACTACTCGAGTACAATTCCTCATACTCGATTACTCGGCCGCTATTTTTTCCCCCGCCCGTACACTTTTCGGCAATCGCGATTTTTAAATTTTCGGGAGCAAAAAAATAAAAAAAATTGGGCCCCCTCCCCTAGGAAATCCTGGATCCGCGCCTGACTACAGGTCTTCCCGGCGTGGATCCAGGATGGGCGGGGGCGAGAGGGCCTTGACCCCCAACCGCCAACAAAAACTTAAGAGAACGAGAGAGAGAAAGAGAAGGTAAAGCGGAGAGAAAGGGAAAGTAAGAGGAGGAAGAAGAAAAGAAAAGGGGAAAAAGAAGGAGATCGGGGCGAAAGGCCTTCGCCATCCCCCCCCCCCTTTCAGCACAAGAGAGAGAGAAAGAAGGAAATTAAAAAAGAGGAAAGGTTAAGAAGAGACAAAGGGAAAGGAAGAAGAAAAGAAAAGGAGAAAGAAGAAGATCGGGGGGCGAAAGGGCTTTGCCTCCCAGGCTGTTGCCCCCCCCCCCCCCCAGGAAAAAGAAAGATAGAAGGAAGAGAAGGGAAAGAAAAAAGGGAAAAGAGGAGATAAAGGGAAGGAAAGAAAAAAGGGGAGATATCAGTTGCAGTTTTCCCGCCAACAAGTTGGGGATCGGGGGCGGCAAATGGCCCATGCCTTCCCCCCCCCCCCCTTCTACAGCAAACTTAACAGAGAGAGAAAGGAAGAGAAGGGAAAGGGAAAGAAAAGAAAGTTACGGGAGATCAATTGTGCATTTTTCCAACAACGCAGTTTGGATCGGGGGCGAAGGCCTTCGCCTGCCCTCCCCTGGCCCCTCAGCAAACAAAAGAGAGATAGAGAGAGAGAGAGAAGGAAGGAAAAAAAGTGAAAGAAGAGAGAGGAGGAAAGGAAGAAAAATGAAAAAGGGGAAAAGAAGGAGATCGGGGGGACCAAAAAGGGCCTTGCCGCCCATGCTGTTGCCTCCCCCCCCCCCCCGCAAAACAAGAGAGAAGGAAGGAAAGGGAAAGAAACAAAAGAAGAAAAGAAAAGAAAGGATATCAGTTGCAATTTTCCTGCAAACAAGATGTGGATCGCGGAGTAAGGCCTTTGCCTCTGCCCCCCCCCCCCCTTCCCGCCAACAAAAAAGAGAGAAAGAAGGGAAAGGGAAAGAGGAGAGCTAAAATGGAACACAAAAGAGGTAGAAGAAAAGAAAAGGGTGAAAAGAAGCAGAGATCAGTTGCGATTAATCCCACCAACATCGTGTGGATCGGGGGAGGGGGCGAAAGGCCCCTGCCGCCCTCACCAAATTTAAATGAGAGAGGGTGAGAGAAGTAAGGGAAAGGAATGGGGTGAAAAAGAGGAAGAAGAAAGGTAAGGGAGATCAGTAACAATTTTTTTTGTAGTGTATTTTATTTTAAAGCCCAAAAGCCAGATATTAAAAGTTAATCATTTTTTCCAATTTTGGTGTGATAAAATAATTATTGTTGGTGTTGTTGATTGTTGGGGTATGGGAAAGGGTTCCAATGCAAAATATGTCAATGGATTCCTCAAAAAACTTGAAAAAGGGCCTATGGTGAGGGGGAGCAGCTGGGTGTAAGAAAAAACTGTAAGGGAGCCCCTTTGGGGATTCTTTTTTTTGGGGGGGGAGGGGTCTTTTTTTTTTCTTTTTTCTTTTTTCTTTTTTTCTCGTCAGCCAGCTGACGACCGGTAGCGTTAGCCCCAAAGCCATGTCCAATTTTTAAACTACATTCAAGAGTCCCTTATTGCCAGGTTAAACAAGTTTTTTACATTTTTAGTACTACTTACATCCATTTATTCAATCTGTACACTCCCATGCTATCCTTTTCCAGTCTGTAAACAACTTTACAACATGAATTCAATGATGGGCAAGGTTTTACTTCTCATATGAAAGCGCCCAAACTTCGCGAGGTGAAACAAAGGGTCTTTCAATTCAAGTCTATTCAAGCCCAATATGGGCTAACAACTGGCCTGCATACCCCAGCAGAATCATTTTGTGCTCGACAAAGACACACAGCCTTGGGTAAAGAGGTCCATTATTATTTAGGTAGTTGTTTTAATTGACAAAGTACTATTACATATCAGGTATATTGGATGCTCTGTTTCAAATACAGTCAAGACTGCCGAGCAATGAATTATCTCCTGCTTCTTGTCCTAAAACCATATCTTACTGGTTTTTTTTAAACGGTATCATTTGAATTTCCATTTCCCAGCTTTATTTTGAACTGTCCCGAAATCGCTTTCCTTTCTTTAAAATGAGACTACAGCCCCATTCTATCCTTTTTCTATGGGGATATTCAAAGTGCTGTCCTCCATGCAGACAAGGAGAAAGACCTCCTCAGTACCTTTATAGACAATACATCAACATAATGCGGTCATTGTTGCAATGTCAGGGATGCTATTATTACCTCTTATGTAATCCTCGCAATTGACAAAAATATTCCGTCAATGAAGGGAGGGTCGTTTTTTTTTCTTCAATTCATTTATTGATGCCATATGTCAGAAAGAGCTGAATAATTTGTTTCGTAACTATTCAAACATTGCAGGTGCAAGCTATTGAACACAGAATCGAATAGCCAAGCTTCCCTATTCATTGGTGCCCTGTTACAGTTTCAAATACAGTCCAGATTGCCGAGCAATGAATTATCTCATGCTTCTTGTCCAAAAACCATATCTAATTGGTTTTTAAAACGGTATCATTTTTTAATTTCCCAGCATTATTTTGAACTGTCTTGAACTAAAGTTGTTTTCCTTTCTTATATTTCGATACCATTACGTCATCTTTTGTACGCCTTCCCGGCATGCACCTCGAGCATTGTATACGTTTCTGTAGATCAATGTAATGCGCATAGATCGCAATGTACCATACTTGGAACACAAGCCACCTCCAATCTCTATGGTGGCCCTGAAGGGACATCGCGAATAGACTAAGTCGTGAAAAATATGCGATAAAATTCACGATATCGTCAATTTTATCGCATATTTTTCACGAAGAAATTCACGAAATTGACGATATCGTGAACTTTATCGTGAACTTTTCACGATGAAATTGACGATATCGTGAATTTTATCGTGAAAAGTTCACGATATAAAGTTCACGATCTCGTCAATTTTATTGTGTACTCTATCGTGTACTCTATCGTGTACTCTCCTGACGGGCGCTTCGTAAACAAAACCAGCCCTAGCTGGGGGAGACAGAGAGAAGGAAAAAAGGGAAAGGGAAAGAGAAGATAAAAGGAAAGAAAGAATAATAAGAAGAAAAGAGGGAAACGGGGGGGGCGAAGCGCTCTTGCCTCCTCCTCACTCCCCCCCCCCCCCCGCCAAAAAATAAATAAGGAGAGAGAGAAGGGAAAGGGAAAGAAAATATAAAAGGAAAGAAAGAAGAGGAAGAAGGAAAGAGGGAAACGGGGGAAGGGCGAAAGGCTCTTACCTCCCCCCCCCCCCCCCGCCAAAAAAATAAATAAGAGAGAGAGAGAGAGAGAGAAGGGAAAGGGAAAGAAAGAAGAGGAATAAGAGGGAAACAGGGGAAGGGCGAAGGGCTCTTGCCTCCTCCCCCCCCCCCCCGCCAAAAATAAATAAGAGAGAGAAGGGAAAGGGAAAGAAAATATAAAAGGAAAGAAAGAAGAGGAATAAGAAGGAAAGAGGGAAACGGGGGAAGGGCGAAGGGCTCTTGCCTCCTCCCTCCCCACCCCCGCCAAAAAAATAAATAAGAGATAGAGAGAGAAGGGAAAGGGAAAGGGAAAGAGAAGATAAAAGGAAAGAAAGAAGAGGAAGAAGAAGAAGAAAAGAGGGAAACGGGGGCGAAGGGCTCTTGCATCCCCCCGCCCAAAAAATAAATAAGAGAGAGAGAGAGAGAGAAAGGAAAGGGAAAGAGAATAAAAAAGGAAAGGAAGAAGAATAAGAAGAAAAGAGGGGCTCTTGCCTCCTCCCCCCTCCCGCGCCAACAAATAAATAGGAGAGAGAGAGAGAGATAGAGAGAAGGAAAGGGAAAGGGAAAGAAAATATAAAAGGAAAGAAAGAAGAAGAACGGAAAGAGGGAAACGGGGGAAGGGCGAAAGGCTCTTACCTCCCCCTCCCCCCTCCCGCCATAAAGGGAAAGAGAAGGGAGAGGGAAAGAAAATATAAAAGGAAAGAAAGAAAAGGAAAAAGAATAAGAATAGAGGGAAACAGGGGCGAAGGGCTCTTGCCTCCTTTCTTTTCTTTCTTTTCCTTTCTTTCCTATTCTCCCTCTTTTTCGTTTTTCTCTTTCTTTCTTCTCTTTCCCTTTCCTTCTCTCTCTCTCTCTTATTTATTTTTTGGCGGGGGGCGGGGGGACGAGGCAATTTGCCCCCGTTTCCCTCTTTTCTTCTTCTTCCTCTTCTTTCTTTCCTTTTATCTTCTCTTTCCCTTTCCCTTTCCCTTCTCTCTCTCTCTCTCTCTGATTTATTTTTTGGCGGGGGGGGG